TTTCGCTCTTGTTGCCCAGGCTGGAGTGCAATGGCGCGATCTCGGCTCACCGCAACCTCCGCCTCCTGGGTTCAGGCAATTCTCCTGCCTCAGCCTCCTGAATAGCTGGGATTACAGGCACGCACCACCATGCCCAGCTAATTCTTCGTATTTTTAGTAGAGACGGGGTTTCACCATGTTGACCAGGATGGGTATCGATCTATTGACCTCGTGATCCACCCGCCTCGGCCTCCCAAAGTGCTGGGACCACAAGCCTGAGCCACCGCGCCCGGCCCACAATCAGTTTTTATGGCTTCCTCTTCTCACATCTAGAGCTGATTATTTCCACAAAGAAAAAGCAAGGCAAATAGTTGAGGGGAATGGGCAGGAAAAAGCTGATGCCAAACCCGACCAGCCTGAGAGGAAGCGCCTCGGCCCGGGCCTTACTCTCCACGGACTGCGTGAGGATGAGCTCCAGGTTTTCTTTGGGCCGATGCTTCGTGTCTTCCACCAGCTTATAGACGCGGTGTCGCCGGTGCAGACGCGGCTTCCGGCCCTCCCCGGCCAGCGGTACCTTCCACCAGCGCTCCACGATGACCGTGTCCTGGTGGCCAGGAAAGCGACGGTGTACTAGTCGCCACGAGGAACACCCTCTCCCTCCACCACTGCCGCCACCCCCATGTCGGGACCTCCAGGTCCCGATGCATCCCCCAAAACAATACTCGATCGTGTCTACCCCCTACCGCAGGCAGCCCTCATTTTGAGAGAAGCTGAAGTCGCGCCTCATTTACCCGATTTTGAGAGAGGCTGAAGTCGCGCTCCAGGCCAGGGGTGTTCCCTTCATGTCGCGGCCGCAGTAACTCCCGGAGGCCTCCCCGCAGCAGCCGCTCCGCGCCCGCCCGCAGCAGAGCTCTGCTCGGAGCCGTGACTATGGGCGCCGCCATGTTCGCAGGCACAGGAAACGTGAGGGAGGACCCCGGCGTGAGGTAGGAAAGGCCCCGCCAGGGCTGCCCGCGGCGCGCCGGCGCGGCCTTGGTGTGGCCTGAGACGGGGGTGGGGAGCGGGCGGGGACCGATGGCACCACGGCTTGCCTGTTTTTTTCTTTTTGGGCCCGGTGGGGGAGGAGCCCAGAATTACTGACTGATAATGGCATGAGCGTTGGTGGACTGACGCCAGAAAAGACGCTTTTCCTCTTTCAAGTGAGGGCTTTGCTTTAGCTCTAGCTGCTGTCTGAGATGACGTTTAATTCTGACGTTCTGTGATGACAGGATACTGATGGGAGAATGATGCTCTTACTTTTTACTTGAAATCTACCTAAAAGTGTAAAGGACGGGATTCCTTGGAAAACTGTGCCAGCTCCAGGAAGAGCCTAACCCTTAATCATTACACAGCAATATTTAAGCTAAAAAAAGGAGAATTCGAAATCACAAGCTATGTAAGCCATAAAAAAACTGCAACGAGGCCGGGCGCGGTGGCTCAAGCCTGTAATCCCAGCACTTTGGGAGGCCGAGGCGGGTGGATCACGAGGTCAAGAGATCGAGACCATCCTGGTCAACATGGTGAAACCCCGTCTCTACTAAAAATACAAAAAATTAGCTGGGCATGGTGGCGCGTGCCTGTAATCCCAGCTACTCAGGAGGCTGAGGCAGGAGAATTGCCTGAACCCGGGAGGCGGAGGTTGCGGTGAGCCGAGATTGCACCATTGCACTCCAGCCTGGGTAACAAGAGCGAAACTCCGTCTCAAAAAAAAAAAAAAAAAAGAAAAGAAACTGGAGATACAAGAAATGCTGGGTTAAGCCGGGCGCGGTGGCTCAAGCCTGTAATCCCAGCACTTTGGGAGGCTGAGGCGGGTGGATCACGAGGTTGAGAGATCGAGACCATCCTGGTCAACAAGGTGAAACCCCGTCTCTACTAAAAATACAAAAAAATTAGCTGGGCGTGGTGGCGCGTGCCTGTAATCCCAGCTACTCAGGAGGCTGAGGCAGGAGAATTGCCTGAATCCAGGAGGCGGAGGTTGCGGTGAGCCGAGATTGCGCCATTGCACTCCAGCCTGGGTAACAAGAGCGAAACTCCGTCTCAAAAAAAAAAAAAAAAACAAAAAAAACTGCAACGATGGCGGGGCCCCGACAGTATCGTCTGTGAAGGGTCTCAGTAATGGACAGAAGACCATAAAAAGTGGATGAAAGGCGGCCCATTTGGCAGACAATATGGAAAGACTCGCCTTAAACATTCTGACCAGGCCTCCTTCCTCCTAAATACTCTTTACTTGGCCTCCAGGACACCGGTCTTCTTTAGTGTCCTTTGCTGATTTCTCCTTTTCTCCCCGCTTCTTAGAATGCAACGCCCCCGCCCACCGCCGCCCCAGGACTCCGTTTTTGGACCCTTACTCTTCTCAGGATATATTCACTGTTGATTTCATCCAGTCTCGTGGTTACAATACCATTTATACACCAATGACTCCCAAATTTCTAGTTCCATCCTAGACATCTCCCAAATTCAGATATTAAACTGCTTGTCATTTTCCTCTGTGTCTAAAGGACACCTCAAAGTTAACATGTCCCAAACTAAACTCATTTATTTATGCCCCCTCCCCAAAAATTGCCTTATCTGCAGCCTTTCTCCTCTCAGGTGATAGAAACTCCATTGTTTCCATTCTTGGACTGACCTTAACTCTTTTTCTTTCATACTCCATCAGGAAATCCTGTGGGTTCTATCTACCTTTAAACTACAGATAGTCCCTGACTTGGATTTACAGTTTCAGTTTGCGATGGTGTGAAAGTCATGTACATTTAGTAGGACATCAGTAAGTGACATGAAATACTCAATACTTTATTATAAAATAGGCTTTGTGTTAGATGATTTTGCCCACTGTTGACTAAGTTGTCTGAGCATGTTTAAGGTTGACTAGGCTAAACTATGGTGTTTGTGTAAGGTCTTTTAGGCTGACTGACTGCCATGGACAGCATGGTAACCTCTGTGACCTGCACATACACTCCAGATGAGTTCCTGGAACTAGAAAGTCTGAAGTAACTGGAAAACCACAAAAGGAGAAGAAATAATCAACCCCTGTGGTGCCTAATTAACTTTGAGACATTCTTCTATTGTTCCTTATTCCCGACTCAACTGATAAGGCAATTGGACTTTATAACCGACCTTAGTCAGCCTCCTGACTCCAGACCCTATGACCCCCTCCCAGCTTGCGACAACTGCCCTGAACTGTAACTTTTATAACTTTTTACTGCCTATCTCAAACCTATAAAACCAACTCATCCCACTGCCCTGTGCTGTCTTTTCAGACTCAGCCCGCCTGCACCTCGGTGAATAAACAGCAATGTTGCTCACACAAAGCCTGTTCAGAGGGGGTCTCTTCGTTCAGAGTGCACATTTAAGTTTGGTAAGTGGATTATATGCATTTTCAACTCATGATACTTTCAACATATGATGGGTTTATCAGGCCATAACCCTACTGTAAGTCAAGGAGCAAGTTTATTTCCAGAATCCAGCCACTTGTCACCATCACCAATGCTCTACCCTGGAATAAGAAGATGACACCACTTTCTCTTGGATTACTGTAATAGTCCTCTAAAAGATCTCCCTTAACTCTCTACAGTTTATTATTCTCTATCACTTATTTATAGCAGCCAGAATGACCTTTTTAAAGCCTCAGTCAGATCATGTCATTCTGCCACCCAAAACTTTATGACTTCTTTTACTCAGGGTAAAAGAAAAAGGCCATCAAAAAGGTCTACAAGGCCATATGCAATCTGACCCCATTAGCTCCTTCTCTGTAGTTTACACTGCTTCACTCATAGTGGCCTCCTTGTTTCTTGAAAACACCAGGCACATTTCATGCTCAGGACTTCTCCATTAGCTGCTTTTGCATTGGATGCTGTTACCCTCAGACACTGGCTTGGTTAACAACTTCGCACCCTCCAAGTGTTTAATTAAATGCCACTTTTTTTTTCAGTGAGAGATCATCCTATTTGTTACTGTAACCCTACCCATCTCCTTCACACTCCTGATCTTCCTTTATCTTGCTCTATTCCGCCCACCCCATAGCAGTTACCTTCTAACATACTAAATAATATGTTTATTTTCTAGGTTTGTCCTCGTTTAGAAGATTTGTCCCATAGGGCAGGGATTTGTTTTGTTCATTGATGTATCTCAAGCACCTAGAATAGTGTCTGGCTCATAGACCCTCAGTCAATATTTGAATGGATAAATATGCAGATGTCTCAAATTGGCAGTCCCAGAACCAAATTTTGCTTAGTTTTTATCAACAATTTTTCTAGTAGTCGGTATTTTTTAAAGTTGGAGAGATTTACTACAAAACTGTCTTTCCAGTTTGTTGAAAAATCATATGATAGAGCACCATAAATTCTGCATCTCTGCATGGAACTGGATGGAATTGCATTGTATGGACTAGTTTTGAGATAAGGTGTGAGCTTTCCCATTTCACTACAGCCTCACATTGCAACTCCACTAATTTCCATAGGCTGTCAAGGTCCCTGAAGACATTTAGTTTGGAATTCTTATCCTGTAAGGGTTCAACAATCTGTAGCAACCCTGGGTTATTAAGGACAGGAATGGTAATAAAAATACTCAAATGGTAGGAGCTGGGAACCAACGAATCAGGTCACCATTGGATCAAAGCCTTGGAAGACTCCTGCAGTGTCAGATACCAACTCTTTAGCTGCTGGATTTTAGGGGAAGGGGAGTGTCCCCAGAGGAGCAGGGTGGGTAGGCACAAGTGCTCAGGCAGGGCTGTTTGCCACCCAGTATAGAGGTCTTCAAGTTCTATTTTTTATTCATACAGCCATAATGTGCGTACTAGTTGCATATGAGCCTTGGATAAAAGATTAAGGTAGGGTAGGAGAGCAGCAGTGGAGTCCTGAGGTGACATAAGGGCTGACCCTTTGTCCATGTCATAGTGCCAGCCGGGTCACAATGACACCAGGTTGCCTAAAACTCTGCCACCCACCTCTGAACCTCACTTTGCCACAGGGAGGCACTGAACTGAAAAACTGCCTCGTAACAGGTGGCGCCCCTCCGTCTACTCCCTTTCTTATATCAAGAGGGGAAAAACACGAAACTACCTCTACCCAATCTGGTCACCATACGCCTATTACCTTTACTGTTACAAGTACCGGATCACCCTCCGGGAGAAGATGCTGCCTTGTTGTTATAAAAGGTACTTGTGTTCGTCTCTATTTGTAGTTGATTATATAAAATGTAAGGAAAAAGTAAAAGAATTTGAAAGAATTTCCCAAATGGCAAGAAATAACAGCGGAATAGGGGGTGGAAAGCTGGCATGAAACCTTTATAATTTTTCCATCTGGCTGGCCCAGGAACATAGAAACAGGCTGGACAACAGAAAATACAGATCATACCAGAGCCTGGTCCTGTGTATCTAGAAGTTATGTCTTCCCACCTCGATTCCAACATCAACTAATTTGGGTCTCTTTCCCAACCAGCATCACTTATAAGGAAGAGGAGGACCTGACACTCCAGCCCCGCTCCTGCCTCCAGTGCTCCTGAGTCCCCAGTAAGCCTCCAGGTGGGCAAAAGCACCGAGCAGAGTAACCAAAACCAGCTTAAAGAACTGTATTCGGTAAGTGGACTGTGAACTGGTGCTGTGAAAGGGCAGCCTTTTGCTTGCTGTAATGATACCTTGCAGAGGGATATCAGCAAGTTAAAAGATGAATTATAGACAGAGGTAGATGGGACCTTGGAATGCATGTATAAAAGCTATTTGTTATATGGACAAGGATTCTGGCCCACAGGCTGTAAATCAAGGTCATACAGGTGGTAGTGAAAATCAGGATAGGAAAAGAGGTAGTGGGGACAAAGGTAGAACAAACTCTATAGGACTTCTGGGACATAAAGCTGTTCAGATGCTAAGCAGGATCTAGAATCCAGAACTTGCCCACATATATTACAGCAGCAAGTCTGGTTGTAACCACGGCATTTTAAATAGAAGACTTTAGAGAAAACCCATATAATGAAAAAAGTGGAAATTAGTGAGAAAGCAAGCACATTATAAAGCTTTGTTTTAATCCTAAGCTCTCTGATGTAAACATTTCTAAGTTCCTAAATGGTTACTGTACTTCCTAAATGGAGTGAAGTCAGCAGGCAGTAATACTGCCTTAACTGGACTGTTTGATACAGAGACTCTGTAACAGGCATAGACTAGGACTAAGGGACATTACTGCATCTTTAAGATCTTGGCTCCAGTTCTCCCAGGCTCCCTCCATCAACGCCCACCTTGCTTCAATGGACACACCCAAATCTTCCTGAAGTCTAATTTAAAGACTAGATGAGCATTTTTAGTCCTTTTCCAGGCTGGAAACTTGACGGTGCTAGCTACTGACCCCCTGCTCCACCAGGACCCAGTACAGTTAGATTTTCACTTCCGCCTCACTTCCCAGACCGCCGCTCATTGGCACGGCCTTCTCTGTGACCATCGACTCTTCCTGGATATCCCATATCGGGCCTTGGATCAAGGCAACCGAGAAAGGTGACTGACCCTGGATGGGAGAATGGGGAGGGAAGGATAGGAATTTCACCCATCTTATCGTGTCACAGTACATAGGGCTGATTCTGGAGCTGGATATAAGCAATCCATTCACTGGGCATGCAGATAAGCCTGTGAACTGAGCCAGGATCTGGGGTTCAAGGGATAAGAGTCCATGGGAAGCTGAACTCAGATCCAGAAATAGTTGAATAACGGGAAGTGCTTTCTAGCTGCTCATCTCAGTAGTCCTTTCTCCCCAGTTCCCTTCTGTGGCTTACATCAGTGGTGTGCAATCTCTTGGCTTCAGAGAAAAATCTACCAAAACTAGTTTAGCAACTTTCATTGCCGGCTTGGGTGGGCGGAGGGTAGAAAATGACCAATAAGACTTTTCTGCTCCAAGTAGGTGTCTTTCTGGATTCTGAGCTGGCCAAACATTTCCTTAACTGTTTTTCTGTGGCTCTTAGTTTGACCGCAACGCTGGAGTTCGTGGAAGAGAAGACAAATGTGGACTCAGTGTTTGTGAACTTCCAGAATGATCGGAACGACAGAGGTGAGGAATCTGCTGTTATTCCTTGCTCTTCGGGCTGAGGCAGCTGGATCGCTCCTATTCCTTTATTGGAGACCCTCTTTCCCCACTCATCTTTAAATATGCACCCTCGGGGATTTCAGGGATTCTTTTCTTCCCACCCACCACAAAGGAAGTTAAAGTGCCTAGCATTCTTTTCCATTAAGTTACAATTGAACTCTCAAGAAGCCCCTGCAGGGGGTGTCAGAGGCCAGACTAAAGGAGCACTGTTGAAATTACAAAGAATCCATTCAAGGGATGTGGTCAGCAGGACAAAATGGATGTCAAATATACTGAGCACCTACAATGTGAAAGGGTCAGACGTAAGGCAAAGGGAACTGGAACATATTTAAGCAGATGCCTGGAGCATATGTTACAGAAACTATAGCTTCTTGCCTCGAGGAGTTCAAACTGTTGGATACAAGACAAGGGATGAATAACCATTCATAAGTAATAAGTACTATTATAGAGCTTACTATGCAATCGTTGTATTAGGATATAGATAGACTTCACTGATCTCTAGTGTTAAGCACTTCATGAACATCTCATGTAATCTTAAATTTTTTTTTTTTTTTTTTTTTTTTGAGACGGAGTTTCACTCTTGTTACCCAGGCTGGAGTACAATGGCATGATCTCGGCTCACTGCAACCTCCGCCTCCTGGATTCAGGCAATTCTCCTGCCTTAGCCTCCCGAGTAGCTGGGATTACAGGCACGTACCACCGTGCCAAGCTAATTTTTTGATATTTTTAGTAGAGATGGGGTTTCACCATGTTGGCTAGGATGGTCTCGATTTTTTTTTTTTTTTTTTTTTTTTGAGACGGAGTTTTGCTCTTGTTACCCAGGTTGGAGTGCAATGGCACGATCTCGGCTCACCGCAACCTCCGCCTCCTGGGTTCAGGCAATTCTCCTGCCTCAGCCTCCTGGGTAGCTGGGATTACAGGCATGTGCCACCATGCCCAGCTAATTTTTTGTATTTTTAGTAGAGACGGAGTTTCACCATGTTGACCAGGATGGTCTCGATCTCTCGACCTTGTGATCCACCCACCTCAGCCTCCCAAAGTGCTGGGATTACAGGCTTGAGCCACCGCGCCCGCCTGGTCTCGATCTCTTGACCTTGTGATCCACCCGCCTTGGCCTCCCGAAGTGCTGAGATTATAGGCGTGAGCCACTGCGCCTGGCCCAATCTTAAATTCTGTGAGGAAGGAAGCTTCTATGATTTGTAAATGGAAAATTTTATAAATGGAAAACTGAAGTTCTGAGGGGCTACAAGTGTTAAAGCCAGGGTTAGAGCTTAGGTCTGTTTGACTACAGCACATCCTATGTGCCTGTACTACACTGCTTCCCAGGGCCACTCCCTAGTGGAAGAAATCAAATCTGGGGACCTATGTGTATTGAGTTTTAAAGCATGTTCTAATCATTTGTTCTATTCTTCCACAGGTGCCCTGCTGCGGGCCTTCAGCTACATGGGCTTTGAGGTGGTCAGACCAGGTCACCCTGCCCTCCCTCCCTGGGACAATGTCATCTTTATGGTGTATCCCCTTGAAAGGGATGTTGGCCACCTGCCCAGTGAGCCTCCCTGAACATGCTTATTCCAACGCTTTGAGGGGCTGGAAGCCTTGACACATGGGAATCAGGGGCCTGGGATGTGATTCCGGACACCTTCCATCCTAGGAATAAAGGGCAGTGCAATCATCAAGTGTTCACTGTTTCTTGGGGGGATAATAGGGTTGGCTGGAGTGGGACATACACCTTACAAAGCTGAATTCACTGAAAAGATCACAGAAGACTTAAACTAGAGAGGGAGAGTACCCAAGGGTTTTTGGTTGCCTTTGCCTTCCTCCTTGCCCCAAACCATTTACTGAGCACCAATCAGTGAACTTCCTGGTTCAGAAAGACTAAACTTTGTTGGGCTGTTTTTTTTTTTTTTGAGACGGAGTTTCAAGCCGGGCGCGGTGGCTCAAGCCTGTAATCCCAGCACTTTGGGAGGCCGAGGCGGGTGGATCACGAGGTCGAGAGTTCGAGACCATCCTGGTCGACATGGTGAAACCCCGTCTCTACTAAAAATACAAAACATTAGCTGGGCATGGTGGCGCGTGCCTGTAATCCCAGCTACTCAGGAGGCTGAGGCAGGAGAATTGCCTGAACCCGGGAGGCGGAGGTTGCGGTGAGCCGAGATCGCGCCGTTGCACTCCAGCCTGGGTAACAGCAGCAAAATTCCATCTCAAAAAAAAAAAAAAAAGAAAGAGACGGAGTTTCGCTCTTGTTACCCAGGCTGGAGTGCAATGGCGCGATCTCGGCTCACCGCAACCTCCGCCTCCCGGGTTCAGGCAATTCTCCTGCCTCAGCCTCCTGAGTAGCTGGGATTACAGGCACGCGCCACCATGCCCAGCTAATGTTTTGTATTTTTAGTAGAGACGGGGTTTCACCATGTTGACCGGGATGGTCTCGATCTCTTGACCTCGTGATCCACCCGCCTCGGCCTCCCAAAGTGCTGGGATTACAGGCTTGAGCCACCGCGCCCGGCTGTTGGGCTGTTTTTATCCATATATTTCAGTAGAGGTGCTGTAGATGTGGAGAAAACCCTAGAAAGCACATAGATCCCTTGGCTTTGGCCCAAGGTGGGGATCTCAAAAGACAGAATAATAGGTAACACAGAAGAGGGCATTCCAGGCAGCAGGAAAAGTACTGGGCTGTACCGACAGAATGGGATGTAAACATGTAAGACTTAAAGGCATATTAAAGACACATATTGGGACCTAATCAAACTCCACAGCTTCTGCACGGCAAAAGAAACAGTCAGTAGAGTGAATCGGCAACCAACAGAATGGGAAAAAATTTTTGCAGCCTACCCATCTGACAAGGGGCTGATATCCAGAATTTACAAAGAACTAAAGCAGACCTACAAGAGAAAAACAAACAAGCCTATTCAAAAATGGGCGAAGGATATGAACAGATACTTTACAAAAGACGACATACAGGAGGCCAACAAACATATGAAAAAATGCTCATCATCACTGGTCATCAGAGAAATGCAAATCAAAACCACATTGAGATACTATCTCACACCAATTAGAATGGCGATCATTAAAAAATCGGGAAACAACAGATGCTGGAGAGGATGTGGAGAAATAGGAACACTTTTACACTGTTGGTGGGAATGTAAATTAATTCAACCATTGTGGAAGACAGTGTGGCGATTCCTCAAGGACCTAAAAATAGAAATCCCATTTGACCCAGCAATCCCATTACTGGGTATATATCCAAAGGATTATAAATCATTCTACTACAAGGACACGTGCACACGAATGTTCACTGCAGCACTGTTTACAATAGCAAAGACCTGGAACCAACCCAAATGCCCAACGATGATAGACTGGATAGGGAAAATGTGGTACACATACACCACGGAATATTACACAGCCATCAAAAACGATGAGTTCACGTCCTTTGTAGGGACATGGATGAACCTGGAAACCATCATTCTCAGCAAACTGACACAAGAGCAGAAAATCAAACACCGTATATTCTCACTCATAGGTGGGTGTGGAACACTGAGAACACATGGACACAGGGAGGGGAGCACTACACACTGGGGTCTGTTGGGGGGAAATGGGGGAGGGGCGGAGGGGTGGGGAGGTGGGAAGAGATAGCATGGGGAGAAATGACAGATACAGGTGAGGGGACGGAAGGCAGCAAACCACACTGCCAAGTGTGTACCTATGCAACAATCTTGCATGTTCATCACATGTACCCCAAAACCTAAAAAAGAAAATAAAAAATACAGGGGCAAAAAAAAAAAAAAAAAAAAAAAGACACATACATAGGAAACTGTAGGTAGGAATGAGACATTACTCATTTTCCAGGTTAGGAAGTCTTATGAATGATTATCATCAGGGACCTCTATCCTTTTTTTTTTTTTTTTTTTTGAGACGGAGTTTTGCTCTTGTTACCCAGGCTGGAGTGCAATGGCGCAATCTCGGCTCACCGCAACCTCCGCCTCCTGGGTTCAGGCAATTCTCCTGCCTCAGCCTCCTGAGTAGCTGGGATTACAGGCACGCACCATCATGCCCAGCTAATGTTTTGTATTTTTAGTAGAGACGGGGTTTCACCCTGTTGACCAGGATGGTCTCGATCTCTCGACCTCGTGATCCACCCGCCTCGGCCTCCCAAAGTGCTGGGATTACAGGCTTGAGCCACCGCGCCCGGCATGGGACCTCTATCCTTAAGAGTAAAGGTTCCGCCGGGCGCGGTGGCTCAAGCCTGTAATCCCAGCACTTTGGGAGGCCGAGGCGGGTGGATCACGAGGTCGAGAGATCGAGACCATCCTGGTCAACAGGGTGAAACCCCGTCTCTACCAAAAATACAAAAAATTAGCTGGGCATGGTGGCGCGTGCCTGTAATCCCAGCTACTCAGGAGGCTGAGGCAGGAGAATTGCCTGAACCCAGGAGGCGGAGGTTGCGGTGAGCCGAGATCGCGCCATTGCACTCCAGCCTGGGTAACAAGAGTGAACTCCATCTCAAAAAAAAAAAAAAAAAAAAAAAAATTCCTCCAAGACATGAACTACTCACCAGAGCTGTTCCTTCACTAGAGCCTTTATGCTAATCGGTACTGAGATTTTTCTATTTTCTTTTTTTGGAAACAGCATCTTGCTTTATCACACAGGCTGGAGTACAGTGGCGCAATCTCAGCTCTCTCACTGCAACCTCTGCTTCCCCAGGCTCAAGCGATCCTTCCACATCAACCTCTCAAGTAGCTGGGACCACAGGCACACATCACCACCCCTGGCTCATTTTTTTGTATTTTTGTTAGAAATGGAGTTTCACCATGGTGCCAGGAAGGCCTGCCTCAGCCTTCCAAAGTGTTAGGATTACAGGCATGAGCTACCAGTGCCTGGCTAATACTGAGATTTTTCTGAGAAAATAAATTTTGAGAATTGTGCTTGTGAGAAAATTTCCATGTAGTATACAGGTAGATCTCACTAATCTCCAAATTAAAAAAAAAAACAAAACCCTCATGTACTAAGTTTTCTAGTTTATCTTGCTTTATCCTTAAAAAAGTTCATTTCACTTGCCATTTTTCTACCATCCACATTAGTATACATTTATATTTACTTGCAAGTACCTCAAGTACTTCAGGGCTCTCACTGGAGCCTCACAGTACTTTTAGATATGGAAAGATGCTGTAAGGAAATGTGTTAAAATTTTGTACAAAGTTTACAGTAGAGATCTCTTCCTTAAAGTTTCCTCCAAGACTACATGCGCTACTCACCAGAGCTGCTCCTAGAATCCTGGTTTCTAGAATCTTAATCTGGGCCTTTTCTTTTGAATAGTATAGGTAGGGTCTTATTCACACAGCCTAAACCTAAATTGGTTCTGGTTCTTAGTGAATAGGTGTTTTTTTTTTTTTTTGAGACAAAGCCTTGCTCTGTTGCCCAGGCTGGACGTGCAGTGGTGCGATCTGGGCTCACTGCAACCTCTGCTTCCCAGGCTCAAGTGATTCTCGTGCCTCAGCCTCCCAAGTAGCTGGGATTACAGGTGCTGGTCACTATGCCTGGCTAACTTTTATATTTTTAGTAGAGATGGGGTTTCACCATGTTGGCCTCAAGTGATCCGCCTGCCTCAGCCTCCCAAAGTGCTGGGATTACAGGTGTGAGCTACCGTTTCCGGCCAGCAAATGGTTATTTCTGAAGTGACTTTAGGGAAAGAACATAAATGTCTATATGGGAGGGAAGGACACTTGTTTCATAGACGGGCCCCTTTCTGTGAGGCAGTTGGCAGTTTTCATCAGATTTAGGCTCACAGCTTGCTTCCACCTTGTGATTCAATCAGAACTTGGTTTTAGAAAATTTTCTTAAGAACTTTATTCAGCAAAAAAAAAAAAAATCCTCCAAATGATTTAAACAGAACTGTATATTCTTCCTCTCTCTCCATGGGTGTATATGTGTGTATACATATAGATATTACACTAGCAATTTAGAAAATTTCCTGAGCCTCTGTCTCCTTTCTATTTGTATCTTAACTAAAGGTTACAGAGAAATAGCTGGAGCAGTTTCAAAAACCTGTCTCCAATAACATATTAGCAATTGAGGCTGGGAGGCAGTATTCTCTTCCCACTTCCTGAGGCTTTTAAATATAATTATGCTAATTTTTGCCTTTGCCTCCTAATTCAACTAGTCTTTGAGTTCACCACTCAAAAACTTTCCTTAACCAGAGTCACCTGAAAAGGTGAGTCAGAAGTCTGCAGAATCATCACTTCCAATGACCAAAGCCTGACTGTTTCCCAGCCTTGAAAAGGACAGCCTAGCAGTGACGCGCATTATGACTGGGTAGACGGGACTGGGCCTGATGCTCAACAGCCTGGAAGTAACACAGCAGTATTCAAACCCTGGAGGGTTGGAGAGAGAACAAGGAGGTGGAATGGGGGAGACACACTTGTCTCCCTCTGCACCACACCTTTTTTGGTAGTCCGATGGGAGGAGAACACGAATTTGGTCCACAGCAAGCCAGACCGTATGTGTGATAAAGGAAGGACTGCATGGATCCTTTATCATACACTCCTCTCCTCCAGGCACCAGTTCTACTGCCAAATCCTGCCAAAGACAAATACAAAAAAAGCTTGAAAGTGATCAATCTAAGAGCAAGTGAAGCTGCAGGAAAGCAGCTGCAGAGAAGTATGTTAAGACAGGGCAGGG